AAACCCAAGGATTCACATATTTACATGGATTGTGGTCTGATCATTTATTGATACCCTTATTGATAGTGAATATTGTATGTGGAAGCACCACACTGCAGGCATGAATTATATAACCTCAATACTTTACACTAACAAACATTTCACCTCTTATTGGTGTAAATTTATTCAAACCATGTCAGACCTGCAGTAACATATTCACAGATTTAATTTTCTTCTAGTCATATGAAAGGGATAGTTCAGGCTTTGTGAAGGGGGGTTGTATGAGTTACATAGTCAGTGTGTACAACCTTGGCACAGAAGCTAATTATTATATTTCTGTGAGTGGGGGGCAGCAACAAAATGTATTTAATCCACCTACAGAAAATCAATCAGTATAAGTCTACACTATATTTAGAATATTTTCAGTGCTTTACATTGCTGTCAGACAGCTCTTTCTAACAGGAAACTGAAGCATTTATATTTGGTTTAGTCTGGTGGCTTTGGAAAGAGCAGATAAGAAAAAGGCTTCAGTTTCCTGTCACGAAGGGCTGTGTGATGGTGTGGTGAAAATATTCTAAATCTAGTGTAGATATAGATTTTTTAAATATATTTTGTTGCTGCTCCACCCACAGCCCACAGAAGTACATTGCTTAGCTTCCATGCTGGGATTCCTGTCTGCTTCTTCAAACTGGGGGCGCTCTGACCGCTGTCTACTGTAGGTAACACACTGACTATGGATAAGTACCTCATACAACTCCACTTCAAAAAACAGGAACTATCCCTTTAAGATTATACTCTAATCCTACTGTGTCCATTCACGTCACTCATTTATGATGAGTAATTGAGCTTTACAAGTTAATTAAATATGGGAAAAGTTATTAATATCTCTGAAGTTGCGTAACTTGTTCTGACTGATTACATTTTTGTTTAATTTTAGCTTCAGTTTGTTTTTTATTTTCTATTTATGTTGCCTTGTGTTTCTTTGGTTGTCTTGATCCCTTTTTATGTCTCATGTACAGCACTTTGAGTGTCCTTGTTGTTAAACTCACCCTTTCTTTGCCTTACACATATGTCTTTATAGATAGAGTAAGTCCACCATCTTATTTTGTGCTGTGGCAGAGATAGGTATGACTGTTATTTCTACTATTAGTTGTTATTTTCACTTACAGATGCAAATGGGCATTTTCTTACTATCAATAATTTAAAACGTCACAGAAATAAGATTATGGCACATTTTAGGCTTTTGTAGTTAAAGAGTAGTTCTGATGGAGTGTTTGCAGCACAATACTAAAAATCTAAATACTACAAGATGCAAACATCCTACAGGTTAATGGTTAATGACAGTTAATATTAATGGTCTCTGTCAAGCTTTCAGACATCTCTGACAGACCAGAGAGCCGGAAAGGTATTCCTTTATTGTGTATTCCTTTAAGTGTCAGAGCTTCGATTCATTTCCATCTGGTGTTGCCCCATAAATCTCTGTATTTGGCTGACCTGTGCCTGCCTCCTGTCATCCAGTGCAGTGTGTTGGACGGGGTCCAGGAGCTAGTGCATATAATCCCCCAGCATGCACCGAGCACCCGCACGTCCAGAGCCTGGTTGTTGTTGCCATGAGGACAGCAGAGCAACAGGGAAACTGAGCCGCAGCGACATGCTTCCTCCGGAGGTTGAATATTTCAGAATGGGAGGATGAAGCTTTCTTGTAATGATATGTTTGTCTGTTTCTCTCACACTGCAGGTTTTATTTGGATTTATTTTTGAGCAACAGAAGGTTTTAAGGTGGACCTGGCAGACCAAAAGATGTACTCTGTTCTTTGAATTCTCTTTGCTTGTATCGACAGTTTATCCAGAGAGTATCTCAGAGAAAAAAAATCCATTCGCCAATGCAATGTGTTTTTTCTTATTTCAAAATTGTGAAAATGGAGCTATCACAATGACAAGCCCTCCAGACTGAAGAGACGGTGAGTTACAATACTTGATTTTTTTCTTTCCCCCGCTACAAGATTACTATAATTCTGAGCATTTTATTATACCATCCATTGTATTTGATCTCTTGAAGCTGTCAGGCCACAGTAAATAACTGCGATTTCACCTTTTGTACACTATTTTCACTCTCTAGCATGTGTGCTCTCAGAGGAGTTCAGGAGGAGTCAGCCTCCATCACTCACTGCTCTGGGGAGCTGCTGTCAGCACCAGCATTCAAGTCTATGCAGTACTCCCACAGTTCCATACCTGTAAATGTGCTGAGATGAAATTACCTCCTTTAAAAAATATGAAGTACAGTGAGACATGGCTTCTTCGTGATTCACTCCAGCATGAATATTACTTACACTTAAGGTGGAGTTTTCTAGTTTAAATCCACTGATTGAAGTGTAAAATCTTAGAAAATACAAGCGCTAAATATGTC